CAGGGCGACGGGCTATGTTCGGTCTTAGTAATCGGTTGGATGAGAACAGGGTGTGGGCTCCTGCCGTTCGGCTTCAAGCGTTCGACACCCAGGTCCGTTCGGTTCTCTGTTATGGTGCTGAGGTCTGGGGTCCTGATAGGATTGTCTCCGTCCTGCGGTTAGGTAAAGGTGTTTTACCCGCTGGTAAGTCATATTTTGATTTGGCTTTGGAAGATGGTATGGTCCAGGTCCAGCGTGACTTCTGTTTACGTTGTGCTGGGCTCAAGCAGGTACCTTACAAGCTGTTGTACAGGGAGCTGTCTCAGTTGCCTTTGCAGTACTTCTGGTTACGCCTTGCGTTGTGTTTCTGGAATAAGATAGTCAAGTCCCGTGGGTCGGTCTATCATGACGTGTTAGTAGATGATCTCCGTCTGGCTCTTCTGTCTGATCTCAAAGTGGATTGCTGGTCGTCTAAAGTGCTCATCATTTTGCGTTGGTTGGGCCATGAGTGGCCGGCGTGTGACTCCGTTTCTCAGAAGGTAGATGTATACTCGTCTCAGTTGATTCGAGTGGGTGAGGTTCTGGAGAGGTTATCTGCGTTCCTTTTAAGTGACTGGGATCAGTTCAGCCAAGGGGGTGATCCGCGTGTGTTCCAAGGTAAAGGGGTTTCGCTTTGCAGGTATCATAACTGGATGGGCTCCCCTTCACCAGCAAGAGAGGGCTCCGATCCCACAGGCTATTTGCGTGTTTATTTGCCGGTCAACCAGTTGCGTATGGTTGCCAAATTCCGTCTTTGTTGTTGGCCTTTGGAGGTCAACAAAGGACACCATAGGCCGAGAGAGTGCCGTACGTGTCAGGTCGGTACGTCGGGTAAGGTTGAGGATGAATATCATGTGCTCATGGAGTGTGAGGCGTATACTGAGTTGCGTAATAGGTTTCTGATTAACGTTGAAGATACTGATATGCGCAAGGTATTTCTTAATACCAATCCGAGGAAAATCGCTACTTTCCTTACTGAGGTTTTTGATGAGCGTCAACAGCGTGCTCTGGAGCCTCACGGCTCGTGAGGGCACCCGCCGCGTCGGCGGCGGAAATACTGTAACCACAACACAACAACAACAATACGCAGGAAATGAAAAGCCTCAAGTCCCAATAATCCGCCCTGGCGGGTCCCTTCCCTCGGCTGTACTGCTGGTACTGCAACGACCTCACCTCTCGTCGCTAGGTAGAGCCCCATCCCACCCCCAGGCCTTCCTAGCGCTATCTGGCTGCTGGCAGTCATTAGTCGTCATAACGATGTTTGGATTGGAGGTAGATGTAGACCGCACCGAGCTGCAACTCCAGGTACAACGCATATATACACACGTACGCACACATACATACATACTTGCGAGCTGACCAGGAACTAAGTTGAGGCGCCGTTGATCCGCTAGATTTGGTTGGCTGCTGGTGGTGAGTTGCTGAACCCAACGAATACATTCTGAAGTCGGATGGGGTGAACGGATTAGGGTGCCCCTCTAGCAGGGGAGAGCAGGGAACTGCCTCGGGAAAGGGGGCCGCTGGTGAAGCTTAACCACCCTGTAACGACATACATACATGCAAAAAATAGAGGTGTGTTTGTGTTCTGGAGTTGGGCTGATTCACCCTCCAAAGGTGTCATCAGAACGAGGAGGCCCATACATACGTACATACATACATCGGGTTTTGGGGTTGTAACAGTTCAGGCAATACTGGTAACGCACATTCCGATGCCCCCGGAAGTTCCGGGATCGAGACCTGTCAGGGTCGAAAATCCTTCCGATGGTGAAAGGTATTGCGGCCCTAGCCGATGTACGGTGGTGACCTGGGATAAGATAAGATAAACTCGCGAGCCGACCAGGAATGGAGCTGGGCCGCCGTCGATCCGGCAGATTGGATGCCGGTGGTGGGTGCGGAACCTGAGCGATCCACTGAGAAGTTGACTAGGGTGATTGGATGAGGGTGCCCCGAAATACCGGGGAAGGCAGGGTTTCGCAGGGTAGCTGCCACGGGTGAAGATACACCCCCCTGTTTCACACATCATACAATACGCGCTTATGTACAAGCAAGCATACAGACGCATACCATCACCACCGTCACCAAGATTACGAGATCGACCCATTACGCCACACCATAATGACAATAATGTATAGAAGTTTTTTTAGGACAAGAACACTATTGCAACAATCTATAACATGCTAGGCTCCATTGTCAGCGGGTCCAAGTAGTAATTCACAATGGTAACGTAATACGCCTTTATTTTTTTCGAGGATAAACGCGTTTACCCTCACACGTACGTGAAAATATGATGTGAACGAATGCCCCATGCATTGCTTGGGCAGAGCCGCAAGGCGTCCGCTTGCAATAACCATCATTACTCTATCCATGATGCAAATGCGGCAGGTAATAAGCGGTAGGTCTGGTCGGGGGGAGGAAGCAAGATACCAAATGTGCGCCTCTGAAAAACTTCGGACGTCTGACTTTCACTTGGGCTCGGATCCATCCTCATTGTGAAATTTATATATAATAAAAACAAAAGATTCCAGTTAAATTTTGGAAACACCAAACCCTAATTCTACCACCCCACCACTACCACACACGATGGCACGTGGAGGGTGGTGCACACCAGCACACGAGCCCCCCGGTCGTCCGTAACCCCCCGCCGTAACCCCCCCCGTAACCTAGACACAGCACCCGTCAGCAGATCCCCACGCAGACAACCCAACCGAGTAAACAGTAGCCAAACCCGGGATCCTCTTCCCCACTAAGAACCCCTAACTGCCCCCCTCCCTAACCGTCGGATCAGTACGGATAACCACCTTAGTCGTACACAGCCTCAAACACTGAAAAAATGCCGTGTCAACCATTTTCACTACCATATATGGTGATATGCATATCCTCACCGGTGATTCATGATTCATGATTTATGATTCATATCGCAACCGCCATTCATCATTATAGTGATGAGCACTATCACCATCATCAGTAACAATAACCATGGTCACCATATGTCGTTGTCACCTTGGCGCTCCTCAAAAGGCTTTTGCAAGGGCCGCCTGCTGCTGTTGGAACTGCGAGGGGTTCGGGGGGAGAGGACCACCACCAGCAGCAGCAGGGGCAGAGCGAGGCGCGCGGACATACATACAGATGTAGCAACAAATGTATAGTAATAAGGATTGGCTGGTCAATTTTTGGTCTGACTCCCCTTCTCATACTCCTTCCTTCCCCCACCTTGGGTGGGTGGGTTGGGCAATAGTGGTTGAGGCAATGGGGGTAATGGCCTACGTCGTACGTGGCGTCAAAATGTTGGTAGTGAAATGTTATATTAGTGAAATGCAGAATGTATCCGAGGTTATGATTTCAGTAAAAAAATGTGTGTTCTATATTCATAATTATGTACGTACATCGTATATGTATTCGTACTGAAGCACTGATGCATATGTATTTACTTCTTCTGCATTTAGAGTACTGAATTACCTTTTGGTGTATGGCCAGCCCACGCTGCATCATCTCCTGACCCTCCTCCAAACGCTCGTAGTCGTTCATAATGAGGCCCGCCATCTGCATCAGCGCTGCACCCACTTCGAAATGGTCCGGGCCGTACACCTGCGGGCATATACATTTGTCGTACAGCAGCCTCACTTATTATTAGTTCCAAGATGAATCAAACCATAAGCCACGACATTCAGCAGATGATGAGTTATGTTGCCTTACATGCAAAATAATAAAAAGCACTGTATACAGCAGCAGATTTGCATATATGGATTTGCATACATTTCATCCTGATGATGGCCACTTCTGCAGTGCAGCAGTACAATGTATTGTACTGCTGCACATACATGTAACCTTCCCCCCGGGACCCCCCCTCACACAATATTACACATGTGCGTGAACAAGGCCATTCATCAACAAACACCATGTCGTACATTGCCGTACCTTTGTTAGGAGATCAACTGCTCGGCGGTGCAGCTTTTCCGCCTCCTCACGATTGGTGCTTGAAACCACGTCAGCCAGCTGGCGGTTATCATAACGGTTAAATACAGTTCGTTGTACGGCAAAGGCCGGTGGTTGAAAAAGTCCGGGTATTTTAGTCAGATAATTGTGCAAGGATTTCAAAGTACTTAGGACTGTAAGGTTTGATTGTAAGGAGGCGCATTATTGGACTGTATGCTCCATGCTTTACGGACGAAGGGCGGCTGGTGGCTGGCGGCACTGCCAGCAGCGATAAATGACGAACGAAGGCGTGCACTTGTCACCCGCAGACAACCGCCAACCACCGTAACGACCCCGGCCCTTCCCAACCACTACGAGCCTTTCTTCAAGTACCGTACCAACCCCCCAAAACTGTAGATCCTGAAAAGAAAGCCGAAATCCTCAAAGCCATGCCACCAACTATGACTTTAAAACCGAAGTCACGTGCGTACGAACCCATAAATTGTTTTAAAACCACTCCAGCAGAAGTCAGATACATCTGACTTGTGGGGTTGTTCTATGGGTACGTACGTATGATTGAAAAACCAGGAAGCAAAAATACAAACCTTGCAGGGGAAATACAAATCCTACTTCGCGGCAATTTTTGAAATCAAATCCGCCCCGGCGGGCGAACCTTCTTACCGCTTGAAGCGTATGGCTCATGGTGGGGTCCTTGCCGTGAAGCAGCTTCTCGTGCACTGCCAGGGCGCCCCTCATCTCGGCAACCGCATCCTCCAGTCGACCTATGTACGGCCACAGAGTACCGTACAGTGTACGGCATATGTTTTGCTGTACGGATACGGAGTATAGGTGAAGGCTGGATGGGGCAAGGTATATCCGCCTTGACGAGACATGCGGTCATCTAAGGGGTGCGTGGGTATTCTTGAGAGCGCGGGGGTTAACAGACCCGAACCGGGATGCCTCCCCCTCTTCCCCACTTCCGCTCCTCCCCTCTTGCACTCTTCCCCTCTCCCCTTTAACATATCAGCTGGCATAGCTCAGTTGGATAGAGCACCCGTTTAGTAAGCGGGAGGTCTCCAGTTCAAATCTGGATGTCAGCAGGAACATTTCCAGGATCTTGCACTGCTGCCAACGCGAGACCAATGACCCCGGGAGATCCTGGGATCGGTACCCTACAAAATTAAAAATTCTTCCAAAGGTGTAGGGTTTTGAAGGACGGTGGTGACCTGGGATAAAGTTAACCTGCGAGCCGACCAGGAACGGAGTTGGGCCGCTGTCGACCGGGCAGATTCCGTTGGATGCTGGTGGTGGGTGCGGAACCTTAGCGATTTACTGAGAAGTTAACTATGGTGACCGGATGAGGGGTGCCCCGAAATACCGGGGAAGGCAGGGTTTCGCAGGGTAGCTGCCACGGGCGAAGATGTGACACCCCTGTTTCACACATCATACGATACCGCCCCCCTCGAGCAAAGAGAACTCGACATGACTCGACATGGCATCTCAACTCCTAGGGCTTTCCTGGCTTTAACCAACGCACCACCATACGAACAACCTGCCCTGCCTACATACATACACGTATTCGCCCTCAGGGACTATCATCCCCCTGTTTGGGGGCTTGGCCCCTGTGCCCACCTTCCTGTCGCTCGGGCAATGTCCGGTCTGTATACCCGCCCCGACCTAACATGAGCACGTCTACTTCTCCTCTGCAATATACATATGCGTATTCCGTTGCGGTTCTGTTTTTACACCGTAGACTTACGTTAACAACCGGATTTTTAATCGTTAATCGTTTTTAATCGTTTTTAATCGTTTTAATCTATCTCTCGCTCTCTCTCTCTCCCCCTCTCTCTCTTTCTGACCGCACTCGCTCACCGGGATGTGCGGCGCGGCGCATCTTGTGTTTCAGGAGAGAGAGAAAGAAAAAAGACCCCAACCGAAACGCAGTAATACGCCGTAATACAGGCAATGAATATACACGAGCAAAGACAGACGCGTTCTCACCCTGAGCGCTCTGCAGCAGTCTCGCCAGCTGCACCCGGGCATCCACCACCTCCTTGCTGATGGCACCGTGCGCAGCCGCCTGGCACTCCACAATCTGACGACAAATCGGCTCGGCACCGGCCAGGTCAAGAGCGCCCCACTTCGAGGACATGTCCTGAACCAACTGCATGTAGCTGGGACCGTCGTACACCGGCGGAGGCGGGGAAGCTGCCGCCGCCGTGGTTGCTGGCGCAGCCGTCGACGCCACGGCGGCGGTGGAGGCGGCGGCGGCGCCGCCGCCAGCGCTTCCATCCCGTTCCGCCAGCATCTTGGCCGCCATCTTGGCGACTCCGGGAACGCTTAGATCCAGCAACAGGCAGCGTTCGTACGCTTCTACCATGGTAACCTGTCGTACACGCCGAAATGTACGGCAATCCGTTAGATAGTCATGAAAACCCGCAAAACTCAAATTCCAGACGGATAGCCAAATTGCGAGATTCACTCCCGCGTTGTTGTACTCCGCAATGCAGAAAGCAATGCATGGTGTGTGGGGGGTGAATGATACGTTTAGACTGGTACGGCAGATTGGCTATGGTACAGTTGTGTTTGCCGTACCTTGCCGGTGGGAAGCTGCGTCTCCATAGTTGCCAAGTGCTTGTTGCCCCGAGACGCCTCCGCCAACCGCCACTGCAATAGTACGGCATCTTTGAGCTTTCCCTGTCGGCAACAGCGGTAGCAATGGCAGCAGGCAGTAACCGTACGGCAGTAGCATAGTGGTAGCACCTCAAGCAGCAATAACAGCAGCTGCGTCTGCGGGAATAGCAGTAGCAGTAACAACAGCAGTAGCGCTTGGATATGTATAGCGACATACATACATGTAAGGTGAATGGCAGATGGCTGGCAGAAGTTAAAGACTGCTTTCCGCCTGCCGACGTTTCGATGTGTGAAGGGTATAGGAATGAGAGGTGGCCCCCCATCTAGTGGACGGTGTCGGACTTGATTTTATTAACTTGCGAGCTGACCAGGAACTAAGTTGTGGCGCCCTTGATACGCTAGATTTGGTTAGATGCTGGTGGTGAGTTGCTGAACCCAACGAATACATTCTGAAGTCGGACGGGGTGAATGGATTAGGGTGCCCCTTTCGCAGGGGAGAGCAAGGAACTGCCTCGGGAAAGGGGGCCGCTGGTGGAGCTATACCACCCTGTAACAACATCATACATGCATGCATACAAACTTGTATACAACCACATACACCAAACCGCGCACCTGTTTTGCGAGCACCATGCTCCAGGTTTGCAGCTCCGAGCTTTGGGACACCACATCGACCCGTGGGTCATCTGGGTCACACAATCCGTCAGGATCAACATCTATACCTACATCCCCACCCCCACCCCCACCCCCACCCCCCCCAACCCCCCCAACCCCCCCACCCCCACCGCCACCCTCCCCCAGAAGTCCAACACTGCCATCAGCGCCAACAACGCCCCCACCACCACCAGCCCCCAGCAAACCACCTCGACCCCCAAGTACGACACTCCCACCCGCCAGTACAACACCTCTACCCCCAAACACAACATTC